CTGAAATATTTTTTGAAAAAGACCATTAAAAATTCAAGACCATGAAATATAGATTTTAACTTGTGTCTTTATGAACCACAATCTACAATGCTAACATTTTTTGATTAGTAGAGAGCGGAAAATATGCAGCAAAATTTTGGGAAATATGATCATATGATATGCACCAAATTTATGCAAATATGCAGTAACTTTCTTAATATATGCAGAGATATGCAGCTGCATATGCTCCAAAAACTAAAAAAAAGCGTAATAACCGAACTAAATTTATTTACAAATTACAAAATTAGTAGTAATCGACTATTTAATTACTATTTTGGTAACAATTTATTTTTAAATATTTTTCGAAATATTCTAACCAAAAGTTTTCCGATGATCCTAAAGTATATTTGGTATAGAAAAACTGTGTACTACGTCCACAGATATAAAAATCCTTACCGGTTTAGAGCAGACGCGACAAAACAGTTCCTTCTTGAAGAATAGGTTCAGGAAAAGGTTTAATCCATAAATTAATTTGAGTTATCTTCGACATATTAACACACATGTATCGCTTTAAATGCTTTCAATGCAAACTCACGAAAATAATAGGGTAACGTCCCTTCAACCACCATAACACATACCATTAATACACTTAAGTAACGAACAAAAATATTGGGAATGAACGGTATTTCCAAAAGTAATTAGGGCCCAAATTTACCTGGAAGAATGGCTTAACACCCAATGGATTCTCCAAACTACCATAAAACCCAAACCTTTACTAGTTATTTGAACATCAGGACAATATTTGCAATATGATTAATGAAATTTCGTCTTTCTAGATACCTACATGCCGTTAGAATAACAATCTTTTTTTTTTCAAATTGGCACAAAAATTGATAAAAATGCAAAATATGCACCCGTTACGTGAAATATGCAGCAGAAGGCAAATATATGCAAATATGCAATTTTTTTATAGCTGTATTCGTTTTTAATTAGCATGATTCGTTCACATATTAAATATCAAGACTTATATGCAAAAAATAACGGATATGCAAATTTCATAAAATCCGCTCTCTATTGATTAGTAATTAAAAAATTATAATTTTCCAAAAAAATTGAAATTTTATACTACAAGTTCGAATTAATAAGTTTAAAAACAGCACTCAAAGCTCTAAGTTTAAAAAGAAACACACAAAAACTGAAATATTTTTTGATAAAGACCATCAAAAATCTAGACCATGAAATATATAGACTTTGACTTAGAATTTATAAACAAAATCTACAATAGTAAAATTTTTTATTAATTACTGTAAATTTTAATTTTAAAATTAAGTTACCATTTCATGTAAAGAAATTGAATACAAAATAAATTGAAAAAAAAATTTTTAAGTAAAATCTTGGAATCAAAAAAGGAGCTTAAAATCAAAATGTCTTACCAAAATTTTCATGATATAGTTATTAAAGGACCAAACATCACCGTTAAGAAAGATCTAAGTATAATAATTTTACGTAGAAATCTGAGATGTTTTATTTTTAATTTTGAAATAGAACAACAAAATTTTGAAACTCAAAGCTTTAACCTTTATTTTTTCCAAAATAAAATTTATATTTCATACTTAAACTGTTCCAACAAATAAGTATAAGAACACTCAAAATTATCAATTAAAAAAAAACAAACACTGAAATATTTTTTGAAAAAGACCATCAAGAATTAAAATCATAAATTTATTTTAGACTTTAAGTTGGGAATTTATTAACCAAAATGTACAACCCTAATATTTTTTGATTAGTATTCATACACAAATTTAAATTTCCAAATTAAGTTAGAATTTCAATAATTTCATCCAGAGAAATTAAATTATAAAAAAATTAAAACTTAAGATAAACGAGAAGCTTAAAATCTAAATTTGTTACCAAAATTTTCATGAGAAGCATCAAGGTTAACAAATAGTAATACATTTACATAAACATTTTAGAACTTTTATTTTAAATTTAAAAAAATGGAATGAGAAACCAAAATTGTGAAACTCAAAGGTATAACCTGAGGATAGTATTCAAAATCAAAAGTTCTATCCATTTAAATTTTTCAAATATTTCAAGTTTTATATTTGAACTGTTACAAATAATAAATTTAAAAACAATACCCAAAGCTTTAAATTTCAAAAGAAACAAAATAAGAAACTGTAATAGTTTTTGAAAAACACCATAAAAATCGAGGCCATTAAACTTGGAACTTGGGAATTTATAAACCAAAATCTACAATGTTAATATTTTTTGTTTAGTTAATATAAATTTTAATTTCAAAGTTAAATTAGAATTTCATTTTGAGAAATTAAACCCAATAGTAAATAAAAAAAATCAAAATCAAAATCTTGGGACAAAAGAGAAGTTTGAATTCCAAATTTCTTACCAACATTTCCATGATATAGCTATTGAAGAACTAAACATCAACATTAAAAAATAACTATATTTTTACGTAGAAATTTGACGACGAGAAATCAAGATTTTGAAATTCAACGCTATAACCTGACCTGAGTATGGCATCCAAAATCAAAAGTTCCAAGTTTTTTTATTCTAAGCACGAACTAAGAATGATACTTGTCCAAAAAATGTAAATTTCATAACTTTAAAATCACTTTACGAAGGAGAGGTTGTTATTTTTTTAATTATTTACAAAATTGCCGAAATTGCTTAATTCGATTTGTGTTTTAGTTGAATTATTAGTGAAACTTCCGCTTAATAAAATATTACAGTCGTGTCAGCTATCGTCCACTATCGATTAAAACGCACAATGAAAAGCTCCTATCATAGAAAATCCAGATAAAAGAAAAGTAGATGATCGAATAATGCTCTCAGAGGAAAGCAATATGAAATGTAAATAGCCTACTTAATAATGTATAATATTCTGAACTGCAAGGACAGGTTATAAATAAATTCATTTAAAATGGAAAGTAATAAAGCTTTAAAATGTAATAAAACCCAGCGATTTGAAATATAAATTTGCCAAAACTCTCTAGCACAAACCCGCCCCGAAAAAATCCACGAACAATAATCAGTCCTTTCGTCCCGAATAAAGCGCCGCTCCCCTCCCGATTTTTTCCTGATTTGAAATTCCCTTCGACATTTATCTTTTAATAAAAGCGAACTCACAACGGATTAAAAATCCGTAAGAATTTCACGACCAATTTAATGGAAATAATAAAACGAAACTTTTTAATTCCACATTCTTTCGAACTGTGACATATTTTTAATAAAGGAGTTATTGAAGGAAGAAAGCGCCATTATTGGAAAAATCGGAGGGTCTCCCAAAAAAATTAATTCCCACACCAGCAGGCGCAATCAAAACAAAGCCGAGTCGACGAAAGGAAATGATGTTGTTTTTTTCCTCGCCCATTATTATGTAAACCGAATTAGTGTGAATCGAAGCCTAAAATTCCCCAGGAAAAAACTTGCTTTACATATGTCTAGTTAATAAAAGTGAATGATATCACAATAAAAACTCATTATCGCATTCGATATGCGGCCGGGGCGCGCCTGCCTTTTAATTTGGTTTTCTTTTATAATTTTCTTTTTGTACGCGACGATGACCCTAAAGGCAGATGGTACACTTTTATTTAAGGGTTACCTTTACTTGACCATATGCATGTCGACAAAAAATTCAGGATCATCGGCGGCTTACGGAACCGGAAAAAATCCAAACAGTGCTCGTAAAAACTGTTCTTTATTGTCTCTTTGTTTTAGGGGTGCTGGGGAGGGGGAGTGGAGCGGTCAGTCGAAAGAAGGGCACGGGGAACCGTTCCACAAAGAAACGTTAGTACTCAGCATAATTAAATTCGAAATATTAAATTCCTTTTTTTTGGTTTATTTTATTAAGGGTAGTGTTGTTATCGTTGTTACTATTTTTAGCATTTATGCTTGAAAAAATCAAACTGTCAATATTTTTTTAAATAAATTATTTTGAGCATGGGGGATGATGGGGAAAACAAACTACAAACACAATATATTTTTTTGCCCACTCCAACTTGGATGCGATTTTTTTTTATTAAGCACAAATGTGAAAATTTCTAGTAATGTAATTTTAAATGTATTAAACAATAAATTTTGGCAGTTGCGTAAGCTAGAAGAAACAAATTTAATATTTGAATTTTGTTACAAGTTGCTAACTGTTCCGACATAAGTTAAAAAATATAAATGGCAGTCGAAATTTTTGAATAATAAAAAAGATGGCGGCACAAAACTTGTAGAAAATTACAATAACGTACAATAACTCCTTACGACTACGTTACGTAACATATAAATAAGTTTCGCAGCCGGAACCAAGTTAGTAAAATATATAAAAATTTAATGATGACACCAAATATTATTTTCCTGGTTTTTCGTAATAATACGGATAAAAATACCCGCGCCCCCTCGATGCGGCCCTGGCTCGATTTTCCTATCGTAACTATCAACTTTTAACTAGAATCCGTAACTACCATGTGCAGTTGTGCGGCTGCACCGACAGGGGGCGCTCCACTCTAGCTGCCCTCACAGAAAACTTAGCTATTATTATAAACATAAAAGATGAAAAAGTAACTTAACATTAACTTGTGTTAACACAACTAACATTGAAATAACTATCAAAATATTTTTTGCGAGTTTTTTAATATTAGGTGAATTTTTGACAGAAGCAAGCCGAAATGTTGTAATCACTGTACTCCGAACCGGAATTTTCCTAGTGTAAGTGTGTGTGTGAATTTCGGTTTATTATTTTCGTGTGGATGATCTACAATAGGACGCTATATATTTTTGGGCCCTTTGAACACCGAAAAAAGTCAAATTTGGTCAAAACTCTATAGTTACCGAAATTTTTAAGGTGTTGTCCGGATTTTGTACCACAGCAGTGTACATCGAGCCACAATTCTTGTTATTTTTTATTTTCATGTGTATCTTGATAGATAGATAACCTACAGAGTGTGCAGCGTCTTTAAAGTTAATCCAGATTACGATCGTTACCATTATTATTATTATCGTTGTCATTCTAGGGGAAAGGCCCTACAAGTGCCACCTCCCGGACTGCGGCCGGGCCTTCATCCAACTCTCCAACCTCCAGCAACACCTCAGAAACCACGACGCTCAGGTCGAAAGGGCCAAAAACAGGCCCTTCCATTGTACAATCTGCGGAAAAGGCTTTGCCACGGAATCCAGCCTGAGGACGCATACTTCGAAAGTAAGCCATGTATGTATACACTGGTTTTTATTATTTTCCTTATAAATAAGTGTGGTTTGGTTTTTTTTGAATTTGGTTGAATTTTGGAAAGTGTTTCGCATATCGCGTTAATTAAACTGCGTGCAATTAAGTAAAATTCCGTACACACTTTCTAAAGCGATATTGTTTTTTTTCGTTTTTCGATATGCTTGAATACGGTCGTATTTTTAGCAGCGTGGGGCCGGCTGTGAAACGAAAAAGGTGCCAAGTATGTACCGGAGCAGTAATTATCACATCAAGTCCTCATTATCATAATACTAGCATTAGCATGTGTGTACAAGTCAAAGTAGTCATTAAAATTTGAATGAGATTAAGATTAACGGGAGAAATGAAGAGGTTTTAGGCAAATTGGTGCGTAATTTGTAGATTGGGAGATTAACGGAACGGAGTAAGGGTTTATCAAATTGGTTTAGAGCTCGCACTGGTTGGAAATTTTTTCTTCAAATCTAACGACAAGATAAATAAATGACTCAATTAAACAAAACTTACAAGTACGTATGTCGTTAACGTACAAGAGGAAAAGCAACGGGCCAAGGCCACCTCCTTGCCGTACTCCAGCACCAACAATTGTTCAAATTCCTCTTGATCCGAAAAACTCGACCGCAGACCTTTAAGGATACCGCCAATGTCACGGCGGAATGTCAAGTTTGAGTGCGTTAAATGCAGGCTGAAAATTTGATAAACCCAATCAATATCAGCGGCTTGGGTCAATTAACCCGGAATTCAATTAATAAGTACCTTGAAGGACAATGCCGGACAAGTTTTCAATAACTTAGAATGCACGGTATGCATCCGGAAGTGCGGCGGTTGCGTTGTCTCGGGGCGCGGATTTCGTCGGCGGCAGAGATGCGATGACACTTTCCAAAAGAAGACGTTCACTTACATTTTCGTATTGATTCTATTAATTTAAACACAGTGGCCTTGTTGTTTTGAGTTGGTTGGTTTGTTTTATCTTTTTGTTGAGTTGGCAGCACCAGGGGAGTGTGGGGCGCGGGTCGAGGAGTTTCGGGGATTTTTGTGTATTGCTGAAGCCGCCAGAGTTGGGTTGTTTGCTGTATTTTGGTCGGAATATGAAGTTGTGGTGATTTTTTAACGACGTTTTTAGTTTTTCTTTGTTCGAATTCTGTCAATAGTTTAAATGACTGTCGATCGTTTAACACAATGAAGTTCGTTCATTTTTTGAAAGAAATATTGTTCGCAAAGAGTATTTTGCGTATGTTACACGTTATTGTCAAAATTTTAAATGACTAATTTTTATTTAACTAAAGTTGTTCTACTTGAACAAGTATTTTTCCAAAGTATAACAACTGCTAAAATGACTATTTGACAATCAACGTATCACTTAATTTTGAAGAGCAGTTATTAATTTAAAAAGTATATCATAATAATTATTATAAAAGAACTTTGCGTAGTAAATATTCTACTTGTTTAAATGACAATTTAAACAACTTTTGACCGTATGCATTTTTATAAATTAGTAAATGACTATTTCATTAGAAAATAAAAGAATTTTATTATAACATTGTCAAAAATTTAAATGACAACTACATAAATGAGTCAACTGCTTTTGTTGCCTTACTGTTTGAACTGACAATTAGGTTTCACTAGTTCTTTTGACTACAAAATGTTTAAACAAAAATCTAAGGAATATGTGCAACTTTTTCAGCAACAATGTTGTTGTTTTTTTTTAACAACGTTGTCAAATAGTAATTTGTAGAGATAGAGATAGAAAAAAGTTAAAGATGAAAGTTATATGGTTCTTTGAGTACCATAAACTATACAGAGTGTTCCGTTTTGATGTAAAATCCCAATAAAAAAATCGCAAACGAATTTTAATATACCGAGTGTTCATAAAAAAAATTACAATTTTCAGAAACCGATATTTCAGTATGATCAAATAGAATATCCTGTATTTTATTACTCCATTTTAATCAACTTTTTGTTCTTTTTTCTCGATATATTTTTTAAGAATGTCAAAAATTCCAAAAACTTCAGATATAAAAAAAACCTAACAACAAAGAAAAAATAAAAACAGAGTAAGATGCAATAATAAATTACAGAGCGTTCTATTTCAAAAAACTGAGCTATGAAAATTGTAGTAATTTTGATTTTTTATTAACCCTCTGTATTATTGACAATGCAAGGTTGTAAAATGTATTTCTTTGGACTATGAAAATTATGATATTAGTTAAATTTCAGTGACAGAGATAGAAAAAAAGTTAAAGATGAAAGTTATATGATTCTTTGAGTACCATAAACTAAAATTATTGTCAACTATACAGAGTGTTTTGTTTTTTGGGCGTAATACACAACTTGTTTTTTTTTAAATGGGACACGCTATATACTTTTAGACGCTCTGATTGGCCTCGTGGTAGGTTTTATAACTGGGATTTATTTTGAAAATTTTAACGCAATGTTGCCACGTTATTCCAATTTTCTTAAATTTTTTTCCTATGTAAAATCACAATCAAAAAATCGCAAGCGAATTATTTTAAAAATCCGTCTTACAATATTTTATGTAGAGGTAAACAGGGGTATGAACTTTGTCGTGGTATCAGTTAAATAAAATTTTAATATACCGGGTGTTCACAAAAAATTTTAAATTTACAATTTGCAGAAACCGATATTTCACTTTTATCAAATAGGATATCCTGTATTTTATTACTCCATTTTAATCTACTTTTTGTTCTCTTGCTCGATGTATTTCTTAAAAATATGGAAAATTCCAAAAACTTCAGATATAAAAAAACTTAACAAAGAAAGAAAATAAAAACAAAATAAGATGCAAAAATAAATTACACAACGTTCTATTTCAAAAAACTGAACTATGAAAATTGTAGTAATTTTGAATTTTTTGTAAGCGCTCTATTATTGACAACTTTGTTTTTTTTTTTTTTAACAACGTTGTCAAATAATATTTCTTTGGACTATGAAAATTATGATATTGTTCAAATTTGCAGTGACAGAGATAAAAAAAAACTTAAATTATTATCAACTATACAGAGTGTTTTGTTTTTAGTGCGTAATATAGAACTTGGTTTTTAAAATGGGACACGCTGTATATTTTTACACGCTCTGATTAGCGTCGTGGTAGGCTTTATAACTGGGGTTTATTTTGGAAATTTTTTTAGTAATACACACAAAAAAAATCGCAATCGAATTATTTTCAAAATTCGTCTTACAATATTTTGTGGAGAGGTAAAGAGAAGTACAGGCTTTGTTGTGATACCAATTAAATGCAATTTTAATATACCGAATGTTCATTAAAAAATTGTAAAATTTACAATTTTCAAAAATCTAATTTTAGTTTTATCAAATAGAATATCTTGTATTTTATTCTCTATTTTAATCTACTTTTGTTTTTTTTTCGTTCGATATGTGTGTTCCTTAAACATGTGAAAATTTCCAAAAACTTCAGATAAAAAAAAAACTTAAAACACTCTGTATTTTCAATTTAATTTATTCCATAACAAAGCGCGTACTTTTGTTTATCTCTTTATAAAATGTTGTAACATAGATTTTTAAAATAACTGCGATTTTTTTGTAAACTATTACAAAAAAATGTCAAAATAAATTGAAGAAACTTGGCAAAGTCGCATCGCAACTTAAAAAATAAACCATGATTTTAAAGCTTAGGAAGACGGCAATAAAAATATATAAAAAATGTTGTGTGTTTTGTCTCAAAATAAATATTATGTTCAGAAATACAGTGTGTTTTGTTTTTGAGACAAAACACACTGTATTGCTGAACATAATTTTAATGTATGATACTCAATATGATACAACTTAAGTCTTAACATTTGTTTCAAATTTCAACAATTAGTTCGTTTTTAGTGACTCACCCTGTATACTAAATTTTTTAGCTTTAACACATTTTGGTAAAAATGTCAGTTTGGACAAAATATATTTTTGAATTTTTGTAAATAATAATATTGTCGACAAATTTTCTAAAAAGAAACTCATTTTATAACCTTAGATATTATTGTATGATATTTTCAACATTTTAAATGACAACAAAAAAAAAACAAATTAAAATATGTCTAATTTCTGCCACATTACAGCTTTTTAGTTGTGAAAATAACAAACAAATTTGTCAATTAAATATTAAATAGTAATAATTTTGCCCGGAATGCATTTTTAGAAGAAATTGCGAATTTAGACTTTTTTAAATGACAACTTTTTAATTAAAACACTCAAATAATGGTTCTTCAACACATTAGTTTTCATCCTCTCCTTGTTGAGCTGACAGCTGCAGACTCATCTTTTGACTAATTTTTTGTATTTTTGACATCAAAGTGTTTTTTTGGAACAAGTTGTCAAGACAATATTTACTTGAGGAATTTTTTTATTGGTAGTTTTTTAAGATGATGGAATATTATTTGGAAGAAAATCTAATAATATGTAAACAAATTAACACTTTTAAATGACAATAAAAAACAAAATTATATACATATAATTATAATATGAAATAATTTTTAATATAATTATCATAGTAGCATTTATCTTAAGACAATATTTAATAGCATATGTTTCTACAAAATTTTGTAGAAAACGCAATATTTTTGTAATTAATTAAATGATATCTCTTTAAATTAAAAATTCTAAGCATCTTGTCGAAATTTTAAATGACTACTTCATTGTCAAAACCTTGAAAACAGAAACATTGACATATTATCGCCGTGCGAGGTATTTTTAATGTTTTATTAAAAAAATTTGTTTATTTTACTAGACATTTACTTAATTTTGGTAATAACGGAGTTGAGAGTTTTAAATGACAACTGACAAATTATTATATAAAAAATATATTATGGACTTTAGTAACAAAACGTGTTCAGATAATTTTTAGTAACTATTTCCAGTTTGAAATAATGTATTCTGACTTTAATCATATTTTGTCAAAATCTTAAATGACTAAATAAAACTGATTGGCAGGCAAAATGTCGTAAGTACCATTATTGTCAGTAGCAAAC